ATAGAAATGTAGTTTGTGTATTATACATATATCAAAAGAGTAAAATCATTGAGGAAGTTTGACAGACCATACGAGGAATTTAAATTCCGCTCTTGTTACAACGTCCTCTGTAGTTCCTGTCCACTATTATTGTGACTGGAGGACGAAGAGACCCCAGGCACATTCTATGTTCTTGTCCTGTATTTACGACAAACTATGTTATCTTTTTATTGTTTTGTATCTGTATTTTCTGAGCAGACTTACAATTTTTTTTTGTGTCACATATGGTATTAGCATCTCCAAGTTTTCTGTATTTTTTCACAGACATATACTATTCTGTTTCTGCTCTTTCTGTTCGAGTTTATACATTGTGATGTCCCGATTTGAAAATTTAATTTCACGCCAAGAAAATAAATCGTAGTTGAAAAATTTAATTCGAATAACGTAGCGATTCACCCATGTTTTAGCGCTTTTAGGAAATCACGGAATGTCACCCTACAGGTTGGCGGTTAAGGGGACTGGAATCAGACAGTAGGTAGAAATTTTGTGCTCACTTGACCCAGTTTGTTGTTGTTTGGTGGTACAGTAGAAATACGTGTTTAAAACCCCAAGCCCACTTAATTAACGTTAACACCAGAGCGGGGTTACTCATAGACCTCATTAATTTTTTTCCAAAAAACATAATTGGCTGTATAATGAAGGTGTATTTCAAAGCATTAGGAAGTTAACATAACAAACGATAAAAAGAAGTTTGATAATAGTATATTTTTTGCCGAATTTACATAAATGTTCAAATATCATTGACAATCCTACTCACACAACAGAAACATGAACAACAACAAAATCTAATAACTCCTTGCCACTTAACGGACGTTTGATGATACTTTCACAACTTATTTTTTCGGCAGAACTGTGACCAACAGTAAAATCTTCCCGTAAAACAAGTGGCGGAAATTCACTCCATTCAGGTTTAACTCATTTAAGTAACGATATCTACAGTTCTAGATGGATTTTATCCAAGTTATTATATTATTCACACTTCAGGACTTGGCACTCAAGATCTAAAAATGGCAGCTAAATTAATTTTAAACATTGATCCAGCCGTAATTCTTCTTATTAATTCTCTCTAGGCACTTGAACATCTATTCGAAGCGTTTCCAGAACTAACTTATTTTGATTTTGACCGTTTTAGGTATGTGCTGTGTGGCTGTTGTGTTTATTTCACGTGTACTTTGTTTTAATTTAAGAGAAGTTCGGTTTGCAAAATAATCTTGATGAACTAATTTTTTAAAGTTGATGGGTCTATTGCAAGATTGCCAGTAAGGGAAGTTTTTACGTAAGTTGCCCAGTTATATTTCTAAATACCTATTTCCTCGCAAAATAAACGTGCACTCTGAGAATTTTGTGTGTTGTAGTTCGTCTATCCCGTAATACATCCTAACCACGAAAACTAAGAGAGCTCGATCACCTTGATCAGAGACGTCAATCCCATAACCGTGATTTGGACCCTCGATATAGCCACACTATCGTAATAACTTGGGTATAACCATATAGTCATTTTAATTAAGACTTTTCATTTTCTTAGGTGTTTGAATTTAATGTTCAAATATCTACGATTTTCCCTCTATATTTTGCAGTTTGACTTAAGATCATTTTTCCAAGACAACGTAAGGTTCAGGACGTTTGGATTTTCCCAGCATTTACTTTTGATCCATTTGATGTATCTTATTGCATGACGGGATTTGCTTTTAATTTTTTCAGTACCACATTGTAGTTTTTTTTTTTTTTTACTTAATTGGCTGCTTTCTGGTAAGAAAATTCCGGTTGCCTTTATATTAGTAGTCGTAACAACAAATGCTTTATAAGTATAAATGTTAAGTTTTTCAATGATGTAAAGGACCAGACTATTGCCTGTGGAATAGCACGCTTCATTTGAGTATTCCACCATCAAAAATTCACGTTCCACCTTTTTTATTAGATTCTCCGGGAAGTACTGGCAACGAAATGAGAACAATTAGGCCTTACTATACTAGCAAAAAGTTCCTCTCACTACTCATATTTTGCTCAAAAAAAAACGAACTTTGTTGGACCTCAGATACGAAAATTTAATCGATCATAGAATTTCAACCAACAGCAAATACAGCTGATTGAAGAATTTCGAATGGCCTTAAAACTCTAGGTTGTAAAGTGAATCAAATAATATTTCTTCTTCATTATTTTCAGGAAAACTGTTGAAAGGTGTGTAATGTACACGTTGAAAAGTTTCACGAAAACAAGAGAACAAAGGAAAATGAAATATGAATATACTAGTAATTGCTACCTATATTCTGAGAAGGGACGCCGGCAACGAATAACAAAAGCCGTCGAAGAAGTTCACCAGGATGAAAATTATTCTAGACCACAATAATATCAAAATACAAGCTTTTAGGTAATTAGTATTACATTTACCTTCCATCTGCAAAACCCTTAATGAGATATCGCAAACTGGAGGTTGTTCCGAAGACCTTTCAATTCATTTAAAACGACTCAGTTACTATGTATTTACAGATAAAATGTATGATATCCCATTACTATCCCAAATATCACTCAAAAAAGTTAACTCTTCTTGTTAGGTTGTCATATTTTATAAGTCATATTGTCGTATAAAGATTTGATAATGTGACAAACGTAAATTTAAAATATTTTTGTAGTCATAAAATTTTCCGGGGTTTCCATTGGAATAAGGAGTCATAAGTCATAAGTCTGTGGAGAACACTAAAAGAATCTCTTCTTTACCCATCCCATAGCTTAAGTTCCAACGACTTTATAACTAGATGAAACTTTCGTGAGTGAGTGCTGAATGCAAAAGATGACATTCCCTTACTCCATTCTGGGATTCTTAAATCGGACAAATGTTGTTTTACCCGGGATGACACTTTCAAGTTCCATAATACTCGCCTCTGGGCAGATGCCAATTCTCACGCGATTTATCAGACACATTTTCAGGATGGTTTTTCTCTAAATGGCTGGTTGGGATAATTGGAACTCAGCTTATAGAACCGTATGTTTTTCCGCAGGGACTTAACGGAGATAATGGTTGCCAGAATTATTGGCAGGAGCATCTTTAGCAGTCCGGAAAAAGGTGCTCCTCACTTAACTATAAAGCAAGCAAATGTTGCAAATTTTGACTTTATTGAATTTTATAGAACGACAGTTTTACTTAATTCTTCGGAGTGCCTTAGTGTTTTTTTGCCGCTTTGTTGAAATGAAGTCAACAGAACATATTTAAAGTGGGCGGGCAACCCACAATACACCGCCGTTTGGATGTAATGATTTATTTAATACTTTTACAACTTTTTAGTAATTATAATTTGAATAATTTATGACTGTTTGAAAGAAATTCAATCAAAAGAAACTTTTACTGGCTTGGCTATGTGATTAATAACAAGTGTTCCAGAAGCCCTATTGAGAGTTACATAACTTATTTAGAATTTCTGTTTAACTATGATAAAGTAAGAATTTTCAGAATCGACTGAAATTATTTTTGCACATTTTCAGGATAAAGTTACTGGACTGTCGTTACTCTTTACTCAATATGAGCGGAAATGCAATTTTCTTTTCATAATATTAGAGCACGTAGTGGAGGAGGTTTAAAGAGATAATCTCAGGGTTATTGATTTATTGAGACTTGCTGTAACCTTTTGTTCAGGTTTTCAACAACTTGGTCATTAACATTAAGTTTACTTAATAATTTGCGCTTGTTTACATTTTCCGTTGCCACAAATCTGTCCACGGTATATTTAATGCGCTGAATTAAATACATTTCTAAGTGTTTCGTCTGGAAACTTTACTACGTGTTTCAGAGGTAGACAAATTGGCATTGTTACTAAAAAATTTGTTTGTTTTTTAAAAAAGAAAAGAGTGATTGTGAAAATCAAAATTAGCTAATTAATTTGCTGAACGTTATCTCGTAAACACTTCCAATTTCAAAATTATTTTTATTTTCGAAGTTTACCGAGCACATACAATTAAATTATGAAACCAGTAAAACAATAACTCAAAATTATAATTTAATTCACGACGGCAACACAAAACAGAAACAAACAATGATACACCGACGAAAATGACATATTTATTCACTGTAAATCGGTATGAAGCGGCAAATTATTTTGTGTGACGAAGGTTTATGTATAAATCCAAAATCCTGCTTTTCTAACAGTTTTACGATCCACTGCTCCACATAATTTTTAATAAATGTCCTTTTTATATAAACAAATGATCCTGTTTTTTAAGTGAAATTTTCTCAATTTATTATGCCAGTTATACAGCCCATTACGTGTGTTTACCCAACATGCACAGCTCGGTTATGGGTGTTGCCGCCACTTTAAGTACTATTTATCGCTGAATAAGATGTTGCATATTATCCTGTTGTAATTCATACTCCTGCATTTCCGATTAACGATTTTATCGCGATATGTGAAATCCGCCATCAAAAGCAATAAAAGCATTGTTGGTAGAATTGTTTTATTGGACGTTTGATGGGCAATAAAAATCGCTTTATAGCAATACTTACCAAAATTGTCCGGTTTGTGGATTTTGGTTTTTTCGTAGCGAATTTGAGCAGCTACAATTGTTGCAGGTCTTCATAAAATAATAAATCTAGACGTGTAGATTTTGAAATATTTCTCTGTTTTGCCCGTCGCGTAACAGACATAAATCCATACTCTATTACAGTGGAAGATAACTTTTTCATAAAATCGTCCATTTTTAAACCTAATCGTTGCTAATTTCGTGTTGTATTCGTAGAAACTGGTAGAACCTCGATACATTTTATAGAAGATCATTTTGAAAATGTCACGGCTTTTCCATCGATTTCCGTTGGAAGAAAAAGTGAGAAAAGTGAGAAAATGGAACAATACTGTCGACAGTAACAACGCCGAGGACGCCGTTATTATTTTTTTTTGTTAAGCCGTTTGAGGAATTATTTTAATTAAAGTGAGCCCCGTCAGGAAAAAGACAAAACCATCTGTGACGCATATTACCTTGTCGCTGTTCAACAGATGCGAATGTAAGGGTCTGGAAATTGACTCGGAAGTGTCTCGCCTCTCCAAAATGCCGTCATATTTAGGATTCTCCTTTTGTTTTTTGTATCTGGTCCAAAGCACCCTGAAAACAGCCAAGTTAGTTTCCAGACACGACCCTGCCACATTTTTATTTTTATTGTGGTGTCCTCTGAATTTTTTAAGCGGTAAGAGTTGTTTCGGGCGAAAAAATCACCTGCCTTGTTGTAATGTAAAGATTATGAATAATGTATACTAACTTTATTCCGAACGCTGTGAGCAGCCCAACAACTAATGGAATTAGTGTGGCAAAGCAGGCTAGGAATACAGTTTGTAGATCATTCAGACCTGAAACGCGCAAAAAAGGAATATATTAAGACAGCGAGCAATTTTCGGTACCTGGTTCCACTTCGTCTTCTATGTAGTATCCGGTGCCGTTGTAGAACAACTCCTTAATTGACCGTTGCGTTTGGTTATTCAGAGATGTTGCGGTTGTTGGTAGTGAGATAATTTTCTTTGCCTCGTCCCAGGGGTTGGAAAAATTCGAGGAAGTCTCGACGATGCTGGTTGCCGTCGTAGACATACTGCTTGGCGCTTAAATCTTTTATGCTTCTTCATGAATACCAAATTGTACTTGATTCCTCCGGAATCATCACTGGTGGCAATCTATTAATGACAGAAAAACCACCATCAATCAAAAGTTCGACGACAATTAGTCGATTAAACCCTCTCGGTTAATGAAAAATGATGGGCGAGCTTAAAGGAGATCAACCGCTGCAGGATCAGAGAACGAGCAGGAATATTAAACTCTGAGATGGTGTGCAGCTGTTTCAGTTTTTTTTTTAACTCAATTGGTTTTGTATTTTATAAAATACATTAAAATGTTTGATTGCAAAATTGTAGATTTAGTTTAAGCAAATTTTAATAAAGCAATTTGTAAGAGACGAGAGATGCATTAAAATAAATTATGAATATATTGCTTATCATTAATCATGATATCATTCCATTTACGTATATTAAAAAATATATATGGAAATGATGATAGGGACAGAAGGGATAGTCAGAACGGAATTAGGGAGAGATATCTGTAATAGGTGGCTTTAACGAGTTTCGTGTGTAGAACTGACGTGAATTCGTCGCTCTGGAACCGTTGTAATATGATTTTTTAAACTGCAAGGTTGTCATACACTTTGAAGCTGTCCCGTAATTGGTTCATCACGTCAAGATGGTTTTCCAATGAGATTGATTCTTTAAGTGTCTTTTTCCCACGAGTTTTTGAATTATAAAAGTACCCACATCTGCACATACCTCTAACAGTATCAGTTGGACAAATGTGTTCCGGAAGACTATTAAGAATGTTCTTTGAAAATTTGACTACTTATAAGTATGAAGACTTTATCCAGGCCATGAGTTTATTGTCAATATAGTAGATACGAAAATGTGGGTTTCTCCTTTTAATTTATCTAGTGTACTTCTGTGTGATTGTTGTTCTGTCGGTTAAAAATTACAGAATTGGTTATTGTCCAACCAGATTTTGTACTTTATCCCAAAAACCACGAATTTGAAATTTTGGTAAGATTAATTTAGTGATTTTAGACGTCACGCAAAATTCAGAAAGTAAATACTTGAGAAAGTCGATAATTTCGTCTAGAAAATTTTGAAATAAATCTTTTGTGGTGTCCCAATTTAAAAATTAAATTTCACCCCCTCGCCCCAAAAACATATAAAAAATAATTTTGAAATTGTGGACAACCACTTATGTCTTCGTGCGTTTTCGGGAATAGTGAAAAAAGTGGTTGGTAGTTCATACAAAACACTTGACGGAAATTCACTTATTCAGGATTAACTCCTTTAGCAGCGATATTTAAATTTCTGGAACAGAAAAAGAACGCGAACCGGGAGGGCTCTAATATTTTCTTACAGTTTTAATAATTCTTTATAGCTATGTAAATTATTCTTTGAAATTTTTGATAGAGTTCGACATAATTAACTTTTGGTTGTCCTCAAAATGAGAATTTTTCTCTTCTTGTCATTGTCCATGTGAATGTTTATTTGTAATACCGGATTTTCTTTGTCGTGAATCAGGCCGTCTAGCTGGTTGCCTCCTTTGCGAGGATGGAAATACGCCGCACGTAGTGTTGTGACTGTTGTGGCTGTTTAGTCTTTTCTTGCTCGATTGTTATAATTTAAATTTCCCGCCACACCATCGTAATAGTTATTTTAATTAAGAATTCTCTTTTCTTTATGTGTTTAAATTTCTCATGTTCAAATATTTGTATCGATTTGTAACTGGTAATGTCATTTTTGAAAGCTAGGGAGTTTTTTTGCAGCTGGGTGAAGAAGTTTCTTCAGACTTAAAGCGGAATGTTTGGATTATCATACTTATTGACAAGTTCGTTGCGTATGTACTCGAGAGACGAGGTAAGTTCTCTGCAAATAATTTCACAAGCTTTTATTTTATCGATTTGTTTGACATTTTTAAGTGAAGTTTACCACGCTATAAAGTAATTTAAGTTACAAATAAAGAACACGTATGCAATTTTATGCAAAGCTGTGTGTTCATCGAAATTCACTTGGGTTATTATAAAAATTTATAGTAATTAAAGAGGTTACAGAAATGGCGCTGAAAATGTGGGACAGAGTAAATGACCCGAGAAGCTGAGATAAATGTTAGTTATGGTCATACAAAAGGAAATTTTATTTTTGACGTACTTATGGCTATTTGAATTTTGACTGAAATTAATGATTTGGGTTCAGATCGTTGGTGTTGCTTCAGGTTTTTTGTTTTAAATAAAATTTGGTAATCACTTTATACATAATTTAAAAAAGGTCATTTATAACACTTTGTTATAAATAAGTCTATAAGAAACAAACAACTGCTGTGATAATTTTATTGTTTATTTATAAGATTCTATGGAAAAGCTAAGAGACTATAAAAAGTCTAATACTAAAAATAATGTCCAGGAATTTGTCATCAATCTCGTCAATCCTTGTACATCATTAGAATCTGTTATAAGTTTTGCCTGAATCAGGTTAATGGTGGGTCTTCTAGTAAATCTTAATTTGATCAATAAAAAATTGGTCAAGGGCTATAAATATAATTCGAGAAATCCAGCTCTTTAAAACTTATAAAATTTGATTTTACGATTTTAGTTTTGTGATAACCGCTATAAAGTAAAAACCAGAGTCGTAAATAACACCCCTTGTCCTTCAGCACTAGGTAATAGCAACCTGAAGCTCAAGTGTTTATTTATGTGACTAATAAAAATGGATACTGACAGACAGACAGAGAGTCAGGCAGATAAACGGAAACGGGAGACTACTTTTTCGTACTGTAGGGGTCATGAAACGTCGAGAAAATACAAACGTGGCTATTCGTCTGATGGACTCGATTACTATACACTCTTAGCTTACGCTCGGGAAGTAAAAATGGAACGAAAGTGTCATAGAAATATAACCTTAAATTATTTGACACTGAAATGAATCACTAATATTAATAACACTGCCACTGTCAACGTTGCCAGTTGTATTTTCGAAAAAATTGCAGTGTTGGTAAATTTTTGATTTCTAATATCAGTCTTTAAAGTTATTTGTAAAGTATACAAAGAAGTAAAGTTTTAAACGAATTTAGTTACACTGTATGTTAAGAATTTTGCATATACTCATTTTATCTGTCAGGTCTGCCAGACCAAAAGTTATTGGGTTATCTTCTCCCAAAGAATGATTACGTAACGTAACGTGTTGTATTGTTAATTAATTCAGTCTTACACTTAACATACAGGGTTATGATAAAGTAATGTATAAAATTCATAAAAAGCGCAACATTTGTTGTTGCAAAAAATGCCAAAACATGTCAACCTTTTTGTTTTACTCTCCATCTTTTGACGTTTGTCAAAAAAAAAGAAAACGTCAAATTTGTAAAAGTTGTGACGTCATCAATGATTTTTTTAAACAGGAAGGTATAATATTGATTTTTAATGTAGGGTTTGCATAAAAAAAATAGAGAAAATTAATAACAAACAAAATAAACTTGATTTTAATGATGAATATTAAGTAAATTGTTCAAACTGTTCCCCATTCACTGACACAAACCCACACGATGGTATTATAAAAGAACTCAAGGGGTGTCAGATCCGGACACCTAGGTGGCAATTCTATTGATATCACCAATCCAGCTTCCATCAAACTGATTATCCAAAGAAAACCCCTATATTTATACTATAAAGTAGGGGCCAATGAATCTTCTGTTGATTATTTCCACCCAAACATTAATTTTTTTTTTGTTCAAAAACGAGTGCTGCGCTTTTTATGAATTTTGTGCATTACTTTATCATAACCCTGTATATTGATTTTACTTGTAGGAGTCCACGATTAAGAGTTTCAAACATTAAATTTTAAAATTCAATTTACGTGTTACGTACCGGGCCCCATTGAAATTTTGATTAGAGGATTAAAGATCATCATGTCATCATTCTGTCACGGATTCTGCTGGAATCACAACGCTTTCAAATCCTGGAATTTTTCAGTGTCAACAAAGGTCAGTCACAGTTTTAGCCAACGTAAACAACAATACTTAAAAAATATTTTCTTAAATGCGAAGCTTTAATTACCCAGACATGTTTTTCCACACTTTGTGATCGTTGAAACTTCAAAAGGTAAGTTTGTGTTACACTCTATACGTACAAAAGTTGCGAAGGGTAAATATGTATAATAGCAAAAACGCACAAAGCTCAGTGTTCAGCTTTTTTCTGGAGCTGTCCAGGAAAAGCTCGCTAAAATCCGACGACAAACGTGATGGCTTACCGATTCCTACCTCTAGTCAAAAAATATATATTTCAGCGGGCGGATTCATCTTGAATAATAATTATGTAGTATAGTAAAAGTCAACTTTTAGGTGAAATTTTTACAAAGAACAAATATTTTTTAAGTGACACTTAAATTTTCTAAAACGTATAGAAATGTGCCGTTTTAATATCTGCCAGAACCATTATCAAGAATTTGTGTTTATAAAACATTGCTGAAAATTTCGTTTCCCAAATACGAACTTTTATGCCACAATCGTTTAAAAAGTACGAAACTTTTTTACATGCTTGTTTACCAGAATTGTTTCAACATTAAAATTTATCGGACAAATACGAATCAAAAGAAGGGAAATTCTGCCGGAAATTAAATGATGCCTTCTAGCTTTGGTTTGGTTGCCTCCTACGCAACAGTTAAATGTACGTCTGAATATGGATTTATCTTGGACAGTATAATACAGAAAAAATTTGGCGTTGATGGCTAGCTAATGGTCAGTGTTTTATTTATAGCAGTTGGCAGTTTCAAAATAGAAACTCGGAAACACTGTGTCATGAATAATGCAAAGACCAAATTTCGGCAAATGCCGTATATAGGTAGAATTGTGGCAAAAATTGGTTTTAAAAAGTAAAATTTTACAGCTTACCTTGTTTAATTGGGTGTACCGTTTTACGAAAAAGCTGACTGAATCTCGGTTTTGGATTTGGCGAAAACTTGCTCTATTTGAAGTGATTAATAAACGTGTAATTAATAGGTAATGCAATTATGAGTAATTAAATACAATTATCGCGCTGAATTCAGCGAAAAATTGTTGCATGAATCAAGGAAACAAAGCTGACGCATTGAAACTATGCTCAAACAATAGGAAAATCAAAACTTATTTCAGAAACAATCAAATGTTTAAATTTTAAAACAAAAGAACGAGTTTTTAGAAGTTGTGGGAGATAACAAAAGATAAGCGGCGCTCTCTAGATACTCGTTTTTTAACCACTCTCTCCACTACTCTCCAAAAAATTTTCACAAACAAAATGGAATTTTAAAATTAAAACATGATTAGTGAGCAGCAATTTTATGTTGAAATGATTTATAACCACTCATAAATTTTATGACAGACTTAACAGACTTTTTTCTACGACTTTTTTTTCACTTCATTCACACACGTCAAAAATTAAAAGTTTTAAATAAGCTCATTTATATAGTTCTAAAATAAAATATAACCTGTGTACGATAAAAAATATACATATTTGGGGCAGGCTTTGGAAGGATACTTATTTTCGTAGGCAACCAAATATATTTTAGAGCATTGATGGTTGCATCATTACTATTTTAATGCAGTCGGGTTGACAGATAATTGACATTTAATTTCACAGGATTTGCTGAAATTACTTGTCATTTTTCGCGATTTATTGTTATTTCATCATTGATTTAGACACATTTGGCCGTTTGTCCCATAAAGTTGTTACTTATTTAAATTTAGATAATCATAATTTTTAAGGGCCATTGCTTTCCCAGGACACGGTAGCTGGAAATGATTAATTGAATCACCCCTTGTATTGAGAATGTGTATTACATCTCTATATTTTACTGGAATTCGTCGATGAAATAGCAGAATAGAGAAAAAAATACCTAGAAAGGTAATATGTTTTAATATGATCGGATTTCGAATATAAGAACACATATATGAAAGCAATAACCGTCGGCCCAAATTCTACCTTTAAGCTTGATGTCTTGTTTTATTAATTCAGTAAGTTAGAAGCTTGAACCTTGAAAGCTCGGTTTACATTTTGGAGCAAAGTATGGGCATATTTACATATTATATGTATATCGGACTCTGGATGACTGATGGAGGTTCAAAGGGACTTCATGCATTACGTTGGAATTAGATTATTAAATCTCCTTTTTAAGAATCTGAAATTTTTCAGTTCCTGATTTTTTAATATCAGTTACAACGGACCCTTGTAATGATGAAATGAAAATGTCTTTTGATTTATTTATTGAAAGCTAAAACAAGTAGGTGTTCTGACAACGTATAAGGGTGCTTCGTTGTCAGAAAATCTCTGAACTTGTAACTAATTTTCTCTACAACCACAAATCATATACAGGTCATGCTTTTCGTAGGTCATTGTATTTATTCATGATAATTTTAAATAAAAATATGGCGAATGGAATCGTCAACGGTAGCAGGATTTGGAACATTATTTCGTTACGAATCTGCATCAATTTCCACTTTAATAGAAACCTCAAAACAGCTCGAAAAAACGAAAACTGTGCAGTGCAGTTATTTTAATATTTATCAGAATGGTGAAAGATCGAGCTTCCATGTAAAACACGCCTAAACATGGCCGGAAATTAGATACCGATGAAACTAAAATATGTAATTTTCGTATAAAAAATATTTTAGTTCCAAGGTTCGAACAAAGTAATTTCTGTCAATTTCGGTAAAAAATCAGTGTACACTTTGATCATCTCCAAAACTACTGGACCGATTGTTGCATAATAAATACTATTCAATTTTATAAAAATTTTGGGGAAAAGTTCGAAACTGTATACAAATATTTTACAATTTAACCTAGAAACCTTATCGTAAGCATGGTAAATCGTTAATAACAATTTATCGGTTTGTCTCCCTTCCCCAAACTTGATGACGTCATTTGAAAAATTTGCTGTCCTATCTAAAATGTGCAAAATATTATGAGTCTGAAATTATAGAGGTTATCATAAAAAAATACTATCAAAGAAACTGGATTTGTTTAATTATACTTCAGAGGACAGGAACTTTTTTTCTAAGTAAATAAGCTTAGGCCAGGTTTCAGAAAGAGCAACTGAACTTACTCTCCGAATTGCTGTTGTAGTTGTAACAGCTGTAAAAAATTGCCTTGCTGGAGAAACGCTTTTCAAGCAAGATTAAGCGACCTCGCTTTCCTCAAAAAACTTAAACGTATGTTTTATCAACAAATTTAATTAAAGTATATACACATAAATTATAACGAAATTTGGCTTTACCTATAAAGTCCTTGTGAACGTGCTTGGTGTTCGTAACATACTTTGTTTACAATTAACACAATACAACAAAGTTCCTTAGTGATTGTTAAGTCTAGACGTACGTTTTCCGTCTGACTTCTTTGACTTTAATCTAGTTGAAGCTTAAGCGAACTTCCATTGTCTTGAGATTTATCAATTTCGAAGTTTGAGTCCTAATTACACAGGTCGTCATGCAAAACAAAGTCATGTTAGCCGAAACCACAAAATCGAATTAGAGATAAAGTTTTGATTAAACCTCGAACACTGTTTACCAATTAATTGATCCAGATATTGGTACCAAGTGGAAGGTTTGAACGAAAAAAAAAGGGGTTGTGAGAGGGTCGCCCCAGGGTTAAGTAAACAAGTCTCCATTCGTCATGTAAATCGCACGTCGGAAAAGGTGTGAGTAAACCCCCTGATGTTTTAATTTGGGTAAATTTACTCTGTCGTGCAAGTGCATCACCTGACGATTACGCAATATGCTTAATTTTAATTAATTTCGTGTAGACACAGGAGCTGTTCCATTTCCCGGCGCTTAACAGTACCCTTTAAATTATCATCAAGTGTGGCTAAATGAAATAATCAGATTGCGTCCGAGCGACAGTGGCACGCAAGAGGCCGTGCATAAGGACCAAGAAGGAAAAAAATCTCGGCTTACCTCACCGACGCACGACGATCTAACAATGCCCGGAATTCCGGATCACCCTCACATTTCACCCCCGAACCATCAGCATCCCATCATCAATCGCGTTGCACGGGCTATTTTTCACACTCGTCATGCCTTCCCCGAATGACGTGCATATGTATCTAAGGGGTTAACTTTGTATTTGAACAAGAGATGATGCGATGTCGACACACCTCTGGATGCTGTGGACGACTGCGGCGCCGCATTACGCCATTGATTCCGGGAAACGGGAGCTAAACAGAGGCGGAGGACACGGACATGATCGACACAAAAACAAATTTTATCTCAAACAGTTTTATTCAAACAGGTTCGTTTTAGTTTAACAGCGCTTTGGTGGTTGGTCTTCGAGCCGACAGAGAGCGAGAGAGATGGTCTTCCGGGTTTTACTACCCTGCTGTTACCAATTAAAGAAGCAGTTGCGTTGCATCGACTGATTCGCTTCGATTGGCTTGGTTTCGAGCTGTCGGCTTGTCTGGTGTGAGTTTTCGTATCAATGGACTCATAATACCGGCAACAATTTTTTTATAGACTAATAATAAGCGTCCCGTTTGTACTTTTTTTTATTATGTTGACACAAACGTCAGAATTTTGAGAAATTTTCAGTTTTAGTTTTCTCTTAAAAACTTTAATTTTTTTGTTGCATTATTTCAAGTCATTGTAAGTTTTGGCATATTTACTGACTTAAATCAAATATTACAATTACAACTTTCTTTCTTCTTCTTCTACAGCAGTCCTTATATCTTAACAGGTGTCGGATGAAGTTCAGAAGCTTCTATTTCTCAGTCTAGTAGTCTTTCCATGCCTTTCCATCTCCTGCTGTTCTTCTCATTTTTCTATTCGTGTTTTGTTTTTCTTACACAGAGTTTTGTCATTTGTTCTATCCATCTAACTCTTGCATGGTGTACCTCTTTTTCTTATGATGTCGGTGTCTATTATTTTTCTTAGTCCTGTCTTCTCTTATTATGTACCATACCAACCCGGAAAACGATCATGTATGTACCATATCAACTGAGATGTTTCCTTGATGGTGATTCCTAAGGCCTAGATTTTAGGTCAGGTCAGGTCAGGCCAACCCAGCCTGCGGCGTCGGAGGGTGGATTGAGAAGCCTAACGGCGTCGCAGCCGGTCCCAAGCCCGGATAAATGGGGAGGGGCCTTTCGGCCTGGGCAACAGGGAGGGGGTGGAAGACCTTTTGACGACATCTGCTACGAATAAGCACAAGAAAGGGTTATAGTTAGTCAAGTGGGTCGCTCTTGGTAAAAAGCCCCTTCACCGTGTCAAGGTGGCGGCCCATCGAGGGGGACTAACGCAATGGACCGCGAGGAGGAAACCTCTATAAAAATACCGACAGCAGTATAAATGCGTTCTCCTCGGTATGGGACCACTGCTGAGGGGTGATTTTGCCTTGTACCCAACATGTGGGAATTAAATGTAAAATTCTGATTTAAATAAGAAAAATGTTAATGGAAATGTACTTACTGAACTCGAGGATGAGAAAGCTTTGGACTTTGGAAAAAGCGATAGAAAGGAGACAAACATGGAATATGATCTTTTCGTAAGACGGGAATCCTTACGAAGAACACCTCCGGAGAACGAAAAGCAAAAAGTAGCCACCCTGATAACTAATTGGGAATCATTCGGTTTTAGTAGACCAAGAGCGAATACGTTTGAAGACTTTAAAGAAACGGGAGCGAAGAGGAAATCATCCAAATCTCCCGATCGTTAATGGGGACCATTAAAGAAATAGAAGGAGAAAGTAAGATGACAAAAAAGAACCTGGAAAAGTACAGGCGGAAAATGGAATGCTAATAGAAGAATTAGCAAAGGCGGATAAAGGGGAAGAGAGAGGGCTTCTGAAATGGAAGGTCACAAAACAAGAGATAAAATCTTCGAAAAGGAGGAGTCAGTAGTAGGAAATCCACCGAGCCAAAGCATGAGTGAGTGTATGGTAGTGATAGTAGAGCCAGGAGATCCGGGCATGAACCGAAGTATACAAAGAATGTACAGGGACAAGTATCCAGAGATGTCCGTTATGAGTGAGAAGTTAAATTAAAACAAAAAAATTTTAAAAATATAAACGACGTAAAAGAAATAACTTGGAAGATAATCAAAGTTAACGCTACAGGCACTTACACGACCTATGGAATTTACCGGTAAGAGTTAGAGAATATACACATGAGGGTAAAATAAGTAATTTAATGACACATAAGATTACAGAAATAGAAGCTGAAGAATTGAGAAAAATGATGCAGTGCATTTTAATGGGGACAGAAACAAAAATAAAAATGTATGTTCCGAAAAGCACTCAGACAGAAACTGAAAAGAAACAGTCGAAAGATCCGAATTCAAATGCGATAGTGGTTGAAAAAATGGGGGTAGACTATAACACCCTTCTAAAAGAGGTTAAAGAAAAAAGATAAAAAGCCATTAAATCTGTGAGAAGCACAAGAGATGGAAAAATGCTCACCATAACAGACAAAGACAAATAAATGGAGCAAAATATAAGAAAAACAATAATAGACAAAATTGAAGAAGTATTAGACAAGTAACAGGCACAAAAAGACAAGAGGATGTTATATATAAAGAACTTAGACGCCACTACGAGTAAAGAAAAAGTAAATCAGCGATTATGAGTGAACTGGAAGAGAGTGGGGAAATAGAATTGAAAGTAGGTGAAGTAAGACCAACACGAAACAATACACAAACCGTCACGCTCACGATCGACAAAGAAAGTGCGGAAATATTGCTTAGGAAAGAGTTTATAATGGTAGGGATAGTCAAAGGAAGAACTGAAGAACACATACAGTAGACAGGGAAATAACTGCTATAAGTGCGGGGAAGAAGGACATCAAGCAGAGCAATGCAGGGAAGAGACAAAATGTCCACTCTGCGAAAAAAGGGGACATACAGCGGGCAGTTCCTTATGTAAAACCTTTAAGATAGCCCTAGAAGAAGCAAAGGGAAGAGCGATGACTTTGCAAAAACAAAATCGAAATAATGCAAATCAAAACAATACAGTTCAACGTAAATAGATCCGGCTCGGTAATGACCCTGCTGGATATTTGAAAAAAAATTGACGTGATAGCACTCAAAAGCCAAACGGCAAAATCCTAAAAAAAAAGATTTTACTGTGATATGAGAAACGATGCTGTGATATATGTAGGTATGTCTGAAAAAAACTACATGTTTGTGATACTGGGAAGGGGTCCGGATACGTTTTTCTTGCTATTTTTCACCAAATATAAAAATAGAGGAATACATGAAATTCTTAGAAAGTTTAAAAGAAGAAATTAAGAAGCTAGGAGGGAAGGATATAGTCATATCAAAAGATTTTAATGCTAAGTGTCTTATTTGGGGTGAAAAGTCATTAAACCCAAGAGGTATTCTTCTAGTCGAAATACCGATGAATTTGCCATGATAACAGTAAACCGTGGAAACGAATATAAAGTCTCAGTAACCATAACACTATACACGGTGATTTCGAAATATATGCGAAAAAAAGGGGAATAGCTCACAATAAGATTGTCACTGTGTAAAATTCACGGTCCTAAGTGGTAGCAGTGACCTACTTCTTTCAATCAATGGCACAGAACGACTCGGATTAAGAACCAAAAAAATGACTGATAAGAAACGTGCAAAAACACGAAAAGAGCCAGTCATCATCGAGCGGTCGGGGAAGTTGGTTTATGGTGAACTTCTCCAATTCAGAGTGTGTTGATATGGTAATTGATGTGCCCGAAAATTTGCATCAGTGGTACAGCATCTTCGAGATCATGGTACCTTCAACCGCAAATTCACAATGCTGTTTTCAACAGCCACAACACTTACATTTGGTCCGATAAAAATCCACATGCTCGTCAACAAGTACGATTTTAAGAGACGGTTTTCGATAAATGTGTATCGGTTGGATGAAACAGTTAGTTTGTGGAAATCAACAGTGGCTAGAAATTGTCGAAGAGTTTCAACAACAAATGAAAATGGCAGCCGCTACAGGTTGTGGCAAGGACCAAACATCCATCAGTATCAAAAGTCGATCACCATGAAGCATTACCAAAAATCTTTCGCACTGACCTTTAACCATGAATGAATGCATGAATGTACGAATGATAAGCAGCTAAAAGTTAAATAACGAATAAATTTAGTGAACAGTGGGACATTACATGGTATTATGACGACCACCAGGTAAAAACGCAATTGACAACGAACATCACAAACACTTGCAACGAGAAACTGAAGGTTAAGCAACACAAGTCCTACAGAAAACCGAGGCATTGATGAACTGAAGAAGTGGCACACTTACAAACACAAACAATTAAATCGATGAGGAGGAAGACGAGAATCTTTGGAAACAAAAACAATACGGGTGAGCAAAGAGAAGAAGTGATGCGCTCATATCGAGAATATAAAACCAGATTAGGCAAATCCATAAAAACAGCAAAAGAAGCTGCTTGGAAGAAACTTATTCAGGAAATAGACCACGCTGTTTGGGGTACGGAATGTAGAGTAGTTACCGGTAAGCTCGGAAAAGAAAAAGCCGTATTGAATGAAACAGAAACTGGGGAGCAATTCAAGAAAGTTTTTCCTAACAAGGACTAGATCGTTTGGAAACGAACCAAAGTGAATGTAGAGGCGACGTTTTTTAGCACGGAAGAACTGCAAGAGGCCATACGTAAAACAAAAAGTAAGAAAGCACCGAGTACGGATGGCATCACGACGGAAATAACAAAAGCAGTGGTAGAGGGGAATATTTACATATTACTGGAAGCACACAACAAGTTATGGAAGAACGGACGCTTTCCACTAAAATGGAAAGTTAGCAAATTAGTACTAATAGAAAAACCAAAAAAAGTATCGAAGACGCCTGATTTTAGACCGATATACCTGATAAATGTGCTGGTCAAAATCTATGAACGGCTCATTAAGACGAGACTGGAGCTTGAAACAGAGCAACAAGGAAATCTCCACGACAGGCAGTTTGGATTTAGAACAAATCGTTCTACTGTGGAAGTATGCTGAAGAAGTTAACAAAGTTAATTATAAAAACAGAGGCGTGAGTCTTTTGATTACATTTGACATCAAAAACGCTTTCAACACGGCGAATTGGGCAGTTAAAGGCAAAGAAGGTCGAGGGTAACATTATTAACGTTGTACAGGACTACCAAACGGACCAAAACATCGTAACAGAGCACGGTAAGAAACACAAGA